TCTTTAGGGCCCCGAAGGTGACGTCCAGGCGCCCTCAAACCCTTCCCTCCCTCCTCTCCTCCTCACCCCCGTCCACGCCCATCTTCCGTCTCATCTCTTCCGTCGAGCCGCCACCGGCACTACACACACGCCTTCAGTTGCACGTGCTACACTCCTCCCGAAAGGGGGGTCGGCGGCACCCGGGCGAAGCCCTTACAATTAGTACAATAAGCAAATGGAACGTGGACTGAAACAAGCTGCGTCACTTTTCACCACTGCGAAGCACAAACAAAACCATCAAACCCACCATTGGTCACCCATCACGCCTTCCAAAACGGTAAGGGGTCACCCATCAGGCCATCTCCCCCAAAACGGCCGAGAAGAATTCTCCTCTCCAGTCCAAGGCTCATGAGCATCGGCAGCGTGCCAAAGAGCGTGAGCACAACGCCCAGGTACTGCGGGTGCCGCAGACCGGTGTTGAAAGGGAAGCCATAGCACCATGGCACGGTGCGGCCCAACCTGGCAGTTGTGGATGGTAGGGAAAGAACACGAAAGAACCGTCAACTCAAAGTTGACAAGTCTACAGAGTCTACAGAATATAGTTGCTTCTGTCACTCTCCCCCCCCGCCTGTATCTAAGCCGTATCAGTTGAATGAAGTTTTTAAAACCCAGCCGGATGTGCTTGAAACCATAGTAGACTCCGGCATTGCCAATGGCGTTGTAGGTCGCCACGTTCAGTGCCTTCAAAGCCCACTGATCTGAGTGAAATCCGAGTGAATCCCACCGGTCTGGACCTACCTGAAAGGTCCAAAATGGCGAATAGGCACAGTCGGCATAGTCTCCTCAACCCTTCTCAGAAGAATTGACAAAGAAATTGACTCTACATACCATGTATCTGATTTTAGGACATCCAATCGTAGATGTTTCCTTTCTTTGCGGCATTCGTTCAAAACAGCTCGGCTGGGATTTCCCTCCTGGCCGGCCGCCACCAACACGCCCCCGGCCGCCCAGCACCATCCAGGGGCAGCAGAAATGGCTTGCCAGGCCGCTGCGCGGCCGGAGCTGCCTGCAAGTCATCACCGACACTTGAAAAGGGTTTCCAACATGATTTACAGCTGCATAATGCAACATGCTATCGTCAGCGAGTGGTTTTGGTGTTTAAGCTTTTGCGTAGCTTTGGATATCATACTTCGATATGTGCAGGCATCAGGCGTTTACGATTTGCCTATTACAACTAGTCGTCAACGGCGCTTTCTTCTGGGCAGTGCTTGACGTGCTTTACATTTGCTGCCCACCCATTTCGACCTCGTCGACAGGAATCACTCGACTCGTGACTTCGACTCGTTGCTCGGGCGAATTCCGAAACTCCCGTCGAGCTGGACTCGAGGCACGGACTGTGCAATCACTGTGTACATCTAGAGGTTGTTCTAGCCTGGCACTCCTCATTGCAGCCCCGATGGGAGCTGCTGGACTGGCCTTTACGTGGGCTTCTTTGAAGGTGTATCACGGTGTATCTTGAACTTCTGGAGGGTTATTGCAGGGGTTATTGCCAGGTACAACCCCACAACACATTGGCAAACCTTTTGAGAACGCGGGACAAACAATTTAAAGGAACCACACCTTCTAGCCTCTACTCTGGTCACTCACTGCACCATGAACGCCGTGCTCCAAGTTGCCCAGAAAGGCCAGCAAAGAGCAACCTTGGATAATCTTCGCCACCACCTGCGAAATGCGTCCAGATGGACGTCGTAAGAACGATGTCGGTTGCACATGATCTTTGACGAACACTCTGCGGTGCACAAATAAACACATCAAGGAGAGCTTCGCTTGGTTTTGCGAGACGGTACAATCACCTTCACATCCAACGGTAATGGCAAACATACATCTCTTCCAAACAGGAACCTTCAGAAATGAGACCCGGGGTCCATTGGTGACCATTGAATGGGATGTATCCTTCATGCGCCTCTAAGGATGCAAAGACATCCACCGGATGCCCACCAAGGATCTTCAGGGGCGCTTTCTGGCAAAGCGCCGAAAATCGGGAGGGGTAGTTCCAGATAAAGCCATGCATAAGGTAGTTCGTCGAGACTCCAAGCCTCAAAGGATGCTCAAAACAATTTGGATTCGCTATGAATCATGATTAGTCATGATTAGTTGGTGCTCTGGCTGGTCTTCACAACCAAAACAGTGATGCCTGTAAGTCTAATGGCCCAATTTCATCATGTTTCATCAGTTTCACAGGCTGCCCCTGTCCCCCCACTTGCAGCCCAAATGGCAAGCACAGCCACCATCCAGGACTCCGAAGACATTCTGTGGAGCCCAAATCATCCATGATGTCCAGGTGCCTGTCTGAGAGCATGGCATCAGTAGATATTGAATGATAGGGATGCCTCGGCAAAACACTATATAAAGTCCCAATGAGAGGGTGGCATGGGCTTAATTGATTGATTTCAATTGTGGTATCATTGATGATGAATCTGCCCTAAAGTCTCAGGCCATGTAATAGCCCGAGAAATTTGAGCCACATGCTACTCTAGAGGGCCCGCCAAAAGAGGATCTAGTGGCTTGACCCCATCAAAACAGTCAAATCAAAGGAGTCCACCGTCCATCGAAATATGGCAGCACTTGGCCCGGATGTCTTTTCCAAGGCCTCATTCTGCTACCCAATCGCTTTGTTGATCTTGACGCTCCATGTGCAAACGGGGTGAAAAAAGTCGATGGCACAGCCTTTTTAGGATCCTTTAGGTACTGTGTTGAATCTGATTCACTCTCTGATTCATAAGCATGTCTTACGTTACAACACATATATTAAAACCAGAACTTCAGAGTTGCAATCTGTAAACATAATAGCCAATGAAGCATGAAAGCAAAGCCTTCTGCCAAGACCGGGGATCTGATGCCCCACCTTGCTCTAAGGGCACTGGGTGCCATCGCGGCACCCGACAGTAAGAGCTCCAAAGCCATGGCGCACCAGAAGGGCTCAAGCGAAAGCCCCGGGCCACAGATTGGTCGGCTAAAGCCAAGGCAGGGCGGAGACACGTTCAGGTGACATGGATGGAAACGGTAATTACAGCAGTGGGAATTTATCATGTAAGTATGGACATCCCTGGGCAGTGCATTCAATGGACCCCAGCAAGGGAACCTCCCATCAAACCAAGGATAAGATTCTATCCAATACTTCACAAACAGCTGAGTGAATCAACTGATGCCAGGAACATGCCTCCCAGGGATGCATTTCTTTCTTGTTCCGCCCGTGGTAAGGCCACCCGGCCCTTCCTTCGTAGCGTCCGATCGCTCCGTTCGTAGCGATGCCAGGAGCTTCTAGCAGCTTCTTGTTCCTAATAGCTTCTTATTACTAGTAGTAAGGCACTTGTTACTAGTAGCGATGCACTTTTTCCTAATAGCTTCTTGTTCCTAGGGCAAATCATTTTCGCCTCAGCCTTCGGCCGTAGGGTCCCCAAGAGTGGTGCCCTCAGCAAGTAGCGAAAGACCTGAGATCCCAAGCGCAGGTGGCGGTCCAGGTGGCCCAGGCCGAAACCGCATAGTCTGACTTCTATTGGGAACCTCGCTGAAGCTAACAACTACCAAATCTGTATCTTCATCCACCCGAGTGGCGCACCAATGGCCCTCACGTGCGAGCTAACGTCAAGGATTGCTCCGCTTCAGGAACTGGGCGATCAGCTGGGCCCAAGACCTGAGTCCGGCACGTGCCTGGATGGCAAAGCCCTGTGACGCTAAAGCCATCATTAATAAGCCAGCCAAGGTGGACCAAGGTCGCTCAGTTATGGTCATGACTAAGGAATAAAAGGGCCAAGCGGACTGCCAAGCGGCCAAAATCACGAAGGACACTGCGATCAATAGTGTGCCACAGTATTGTGCGATGGAGGGCCAAAAACCATGCAGCAAAGCATCCACCAGCATGTTGACCTGAATGGATGACGCGTGGTTTTAGACGTGCACGATGAACTCCTTCGAAGCAGGGGGAAACCACTGAAAACAATACCCAATGGTCACAATGGTCTTTCCGAAGGCCATTTCCATCCTTTTCTGCTTCCATGTGCTTCCATGATTCTTGGAGGATGGGTGACTCTTGGAGTTGGGGCGACCGAACATCCTCAAAGCCCCGCGCTCGTCTGGGACGGCAAATGGTCGTCCACGGTTCGGAGTGTCTTTTTCAGCCAAGCGTCTGGTGTGCCCACATTCACACCGACCGCGATGAAAACAGGGCTGGTCACTGCCTAGGCTCATGGGCTCTCTGCACCGCAAGGCAAGGACATGAGGGAGAAGTCTTGGCCTGGGTGATTAATTTGCGGATTCCGTACCTTGGGTAGGCACATTGCCCGTCACACACACACACACCAAGCCGCAAACAGAATCCACATTTCAGCCCAAGCGCCAGCCCCCAGGCCAGCGCGGTGTTGTAAATGATATCGCAACCCGCGCTGCCCAGGACCAGCGGCCAATCCACAGGTACGGAACCTGGACGCGGAAAAACACGGGTGGAGTTACGCGCCAGGGACATGAATCCCCTTGACCCTAATCTGAAGGTAAACAACAAAGGCATAACAAATAGGTCCAAGATGGTCAAAGCACTAGCTGCAGCTAGTGAGAATCAATGATCGGGCAGTCTTCCAATTCTGGACTCATGAAATCGCATGAATATTCTTGGAAAAATATCGACAGTCTGGTCATGTGGGCAAATCAAACTGAGTTCACTATTGGATGAGATGGGCTAAGGGCTCCCGAACTCTAAGGGCTCCCACCAGGCTGAGCTGTGCTGAGCTGCTGCTCCACCAGCGGTCTTCAACGTTGAGCCAAGCCAGAAGAACCACCAAGGGCAAGCCCAGAAAAGCGGCCTTAGACGTCTCAGGGGGAGCTGAGGACTTCCAGAAATTCAAGTATGACTGTTGCAATGTGTTTATTTGCAATAGTGTCAACTCAGACATTTTAGATGGTCTTAGAGTGATCTTCATAAGTGTGACGTGTACAGGCTCGGGGTGGCATGCAATTACCGTTCTCTCCCAACACCCCCGTTATCGAAATCCACATTCTTTCATCTCCAGCGATTCGCGAGATTTCACTTTACATGGTGCTTCTTCACCTTTTTGTCTTTCTTCGCCTTAGGCGAAGCAGACTTGTGAGTTTTGGCCTTTGGGGCAGCTGTCGACTTGGACCTTTTGGCCTTTTCCACAGCTGTAGGCTCTGATGCCTCACTTTTCTGGCTCAACTGACTCCCTTCTGCGCCAAGAAAGCCAGTGCTTGATGTGAATCGCTCCACAACTTCGACAATGTCCTTCATTGCTGGCCTTGATTGACACAGGCATACATTTAAAATATACGCGTCTCACGTTACGACAGTGTCTCGCACGCACAAGTCCCAGTCTGTCAGTCTGAGTCTGACTGAGGAGTCCTGAGAGTCCTCAAACACGCAAACACATATAACCACCCCAAACAAAACAGTAACAAGTCTTGAAAGAACAATGGTATTATTCTGAACTCAGGCATTGCTTTTCAACTGAATGGCCAAGCTTTTTGTGAACTCCCCAAATGTAGCACACGACTTGCCAAAGAGCAGCATCCTCTGTCATATTGCGTTTCTTCCCATGCCAGTAAGTGGCATGACTATACTTCCGTCCTGCAAGGTACAGTGTTACAGCCTGAGTCAGACTGAGTCCTGTCCAGTTTCTCTGTTATTCATGACAGTCAGTCTGACTGATTTTAACATGTTTTCATTTTAAAAACAATCATGCGTTTTCCTCAAGTCGAGTCTGATTTGTCTAATCTATACATTACAAATGTTTGTGACTGACTACAGTTCAGTCAGTTAGGTTTGTTAAACTTGTGAGTCTATGAGTATTTCTGTCTGTGTGGTCTCGGTCTGCAGTTGTTGTGAGTCATTGGAATCACCCGCTCTGGTCCTCGAGTCTCATCTGGTGACGGCTCTGCAAAATACCATCCCTGGTAGCGCTTGAGTACAGGATGTCGATACACTGCACCACACTTGACTCCTTGCTCATTCGTTGGAACAAGGTGTTGCAAAGTCTTTGGGGTCTCATGCTGGTGGAATCCTTTGTGCGTGGATTCTCTGTTCTGCCCACGAGATTCCTGTGCTTTGAATAGTGCTTCCTGGTCCATTGCGACTTGTGTGATCTCCATGTACTCCCGTTCATCCTCTTTCTCAAGGCACTGAAATGCCTGGATGATGTCATGTGTGTAATGCTTGGAAGTAGCCTCAGTGTGCTTCCACCCACGACCAAGCAGTGCCTTCACCATCAAAAATCGTGCTTGACGAGAACTGTTTGTGTCGTTGAAGAAGTGGTTGACCAAACATTCAGCCCAGTCCTGCTTCACAAGCCGACCATTCTTTCCATGTCCACTCCCTTTGGGTGTCATCCGATACCCAATCTCTGTCTGGATGGTCACCAATTGATCCTTGGAAAGGAAGATATGATTTCTTAGGGCTCCTGATAGAAGATCTTCTTCTGGACCAGTCTGATGTAGCACGCAGTTATATTGACGAAGCCGTGCTGGAAGCTGCCATGGGTGAGCCAGTTGAAACGGAATAAACGTCCAACTACCAGAAACCTTGTCATTGAAAATCCAACTGGGCCCCAATCGATTGGCAACGCTGTCCCGGCTGAACATGAAGAACACCTGCACTGGGTTGATGTTCATGTTGATCCATGGAATTAAACTTAACGATCTATATTATTGTTATTGTTTCCCCCCCCAACTGTTTTGGTGTCTTTCAATACTAAGTGCATTCTAACTCAGACAATATCAGATTTATCAGTCAGACTCAGGGCTCAAAGTCTGTCAGTCCGTTTGTTAATCAGACTGAAGACACTGATCATGATTATGATTGAGTACCACACCTCGCCATCATCCACAGACAGCTTTGTGAGAAGTAATCCCAATGCAGCGCATTGTCGGAAGCCAAGGCTGACATAGTAACGACCACTCTTGCTGTTCCGGTAGACCTGCCCTTTCATCAATAAGCATCCTAGATCAGTGGCTTGAGATGAGAATGGTAACTACAGTCTGGTCATTGACAATGACAACTACAGTCTGGTCATTATAAGCAACATTTTTGGTTGATTCGATTCAACAATGTAACAAGTACCAATAAGCATTTGGGAATGACCGTCCTACCCATGACAATGCGGCCGCTGCGAACTTTGAGTTGGCATTCAGGACAGTCCATGATGTGGAAGCAGCAGACTTTTGATTGGATATGGTACCAGCCTTCCTGGTTTGCCATAGCCTCATGTTCATGAGCTCTTTCTGGATGTCAGGAGGTAGGTGACACCCCTCGTTGCTCATGAACGACTTTCCACCTAAGCCTTCTGCAGTAGGTAGCCGACCACTGTCATGGTCATGGATGGTGGTGCGAAGCTGTGGCCACCCATATTCATCAGACGAATGAAATGGCACTGTTGTAGCGTAGAAATATCGACTCCACCTGATTGGATCTGAAAGGGTTGATCAGGGGATTGAACTAGTCTTTTAAAAATTACTTTGAACAAATAGTAAAAAATGGTTCTCTTTAACCAAATGATCAAGTAGCTTGTTGCTGCCACTGGCAAGGGTGCTCAACTTCTCCACTGACGTCAGATGGGCAAAAACATCTTCCAATTCAAACTTTGTTTGGCAAGGTCCTCCGAAAATACTGGTAGCATACTCAAGTAACGCCGGTGTCAATTCCCAGTCGTTTTCCTGGCACACCAAATAAATCTCCCTTGCGAGCTGGGAGTCATTCCAGGCCACTTCTTTCAGCCTATCAAAGCAATGTTCTTCCACAGATTTGATGTTTTTCTTACTTGCTTCTCTCATTTGTTTCTGCTGTTTGCGAAAGGCTTTCGCAGTGACAGACTTGTTCTCGAGGGAGTAGTGTGCTGCACATGTTTTTTCCAGAGATAGCACAGCGTCCCAAATAGTACGGATCGTCCGCAATTGAGTAAGTGCAATTTTCTGTTCTGGATGCAACGGCAAACAATGTAGGCACACACGCTGTAAATAAGCATTGTGACCATGACCGCGCCGCGGCAAGCTCCACCAGGACATTGAAGAACTCCTTCAAGCGGCCACGTTCCTCAACGAACCATTGAGGCCAGGCTCTGTCTGGATCCTCAACAAGTCGTGTCAATGGGAGATCCTCTTCAGAAGGTGTCACTGAAATAGAAATACCCATAGACTCCAAATCTTGGAACTGGTGCAAAGTTTCCATGCTGCTGGCAATGGTAATCAGCCAGCTGCCACTCGCACGGCGAGCTTGCCACGCAATGGATGAAGCCTGACAGGGAAAGTTGAATCGAATCGAACCAACGTGGGTAAGTCTAATAAATCCGAACACGGACTGACTGAGTCTACTGTACTACTGAGTGGATGAGAAGACTGCTAGATAAATAACTGCTAAGGCAAACAGTGTAACTTAACATGAGTCTGAGACATTCTGGACTGGACTCTATGCAATGCACTGAATCTGCCTGGTCTCTTTGCAGCTCTGACAGAACATAGGTGTAGTCTTCCCGATAAGCCCGTGTTGCTGCAACAATCATAAACATATCATCCTGCAAATCTCTGTTGTGATATAGATGGCTCACCAACCGCATCGAGTTTTCAAACTGGCCCTTAATGTTTGCAAGCTCCTTTCTGTTGGCAGGCGGCCGTGGCGGCCGCTTCGTCTTCACCTTGCTCTGAATCACTGGCTGCTTGGCTGGAATCATTAGCAGCGTCGCCCTGGGAACCCTGGTCGTCACCAGGTTCTGCTTTCTTATTCTTGAGGTCAAAGGGTGTGTCCTTAGATTCTTCTAGATAGCTGGTTACCTGATGTTACCCTGGTACATTATAAACAAACAGTCTGCCATGCTAAAATATCAGTCTCCAGTCAGACAATCAAATAGTGTCAGGTCCAAGATTATCAATGTCAATTCAAGGTGCATTCTTGATGTTCAGCGCATGATCTAAGATTTTGCTTGCTAGACTCCAGTTCTTGCAAATCCCACCCATGACATCCAGGGAAGTGAACCAGCTCTTTGTTTTCACCTTGAGTGTGCCAATACAGAAGCACTGCCAAACAAATCAAATTGTTTCAATTGGGAAAACATTTTTTTGGGTTACAGGCTAGACTGCACACTTGAGAGAAGGAGTGTTGTTTTTTTTAATCATAGTCGTGTCACAAAAGGCGGCAGCTGCGTCACTGCAGCCAGAGAGGGGATGTCGTCAGGAGATTCAGGAATATCTGTATAATCTTCTTCTGAAATTCCAGCGCGAGCGTGATCTATCATCATGTTCTCAACAAGTTCCTGGAAATCAGCATCTGACATTGTAGTCAAGTCATTGGCCGCCTCCTGGAATGTTTGCCTATTCATTCCTGACTTCCATGGTCCATGGAGGACATTGCCAATGGTTGTGCTGAGGAGTAGGGTATACTGATATCCGCTTCGGCGGATTGCATTGCGCGTATCATTCCACAAACCATGCATTGCCTCCGGTGTTATCATCATGCGCAAACCGATTTGCTGTAGTGAGTAGGCCATCTTGAATTGGAGGGCCTCCTCGTCTGACACCTCATCACAATCCATATATGTTATGTTAGGTTTTAAGTGTTCGGAATCCAAACTAAACTACGACCCGTTCCGGTTTTGTCCGGTCCAGTCAAACAGTTTTACTTACTGTAGCACTAACTGTTTTAACTTTCAGTCCTAATCATGTCATTGGCATCAGAGTTTAGTTACAATGAGTGAGCCCGCTGACTGACCCTGACCTGCCCGCCACTAACGATGATGACGAGGAGCAATGCAAATCATTGGGCGAAGATCTTTGTCGTGTGGCGCCAATAGTTTGTCAGTGATCT